AAAATTTGAATTTTCTGTTCTCCTTTAATCTGTGCAGCAGTCTCATCCTGGCATATTTAGGTATTAGCGTGTTAGCAAGTCACCTTGTATTTGTTTCACAGTGACTCTTTTTTTAGTAGCACACTCTGGTACTGAACTGCTGCCGGAACCATTTTCCTTTTTTTTAACAACTCATTGATTCAGCGGAGCCGAGCTGCAGACATTAGAGCCGGTGTAAAGCCCAATCTCACACCCCTGTCCTGCTTTCACTTCCCTTGGCCAGAGTTAGCAAGTTAGCATGTTTTCATTATCATGCAAGCCAGTGCAGTTAACTGCAAAACGTGTCATTGTTTTAATTGTTGTGTTCTAGCTTTGTTGCATTTGTTTACGAATATATTTACGTTTACGAAAAGTGAGGAACATACATATCTACCTATGCCTTTGAGGTTCATCCCACAATTATTGATTGATGGCTGTGACATATATGATTCATCCAGTAACACTGTGAATATCGTGGCTGGGAACAAGGGGGGGTAAGATCAGGACGAGGATGTGAGATTGGGCACCACATGGGTTTATGAGGAGCCTGGCCTCTTCCTATTTCCCACGTTATATAAAAAAACATGACTCCAGAACACTAGAGGGCGTCTGCATGTGAGTCCTAAATGAATGAGGGAGATGTGGAGCTAGATTTTGCTCAAATGCTCCATATTAATCCATTTATGTTGGACTCGCTCAGGAGCGCCATCTAGTGTTTGAGAAACATACAGCCCCAGTGACGTCACATGCACATGCTTACTCTGCCACAATGCCGGAAGCGGCCCACCAGTATGTTAACATTTGGCTGCTTCTGTTTAAAACAGTATCATCATCATAGTTTTCTTTTTCTATTTTAATAACAATATCATCACCTAATCCGTTTTCCATACATAACATAGCTAGAGAATTCCATTTAATATATTTTATTGTGTCAGGTGTAGCCTGTTTTTTTTTTCTGCAAATAGACCCGACATAAAGTCTTATCATCGTGGTAGGTTTTATTTTGTAAATTAACATTTTCTTTAATTCCATTATTATCAGTATGACAAAGCCAAAATCTTTTTAGTGTAACTCATTGTAGCCCAACAGTAGCTGGTTCACAGTTTTTGCTCATCAAACCGACAGAACACTGTCTTGAATATGTTATTCATGATTTTATCTGCAAAGCATTTTATTCATAAAAACAAATTTTCTAGTTCAGTTCCTAGAATGTCAGTTTTGAAAATAGAAACTGAACACTGGATTACGTCCCTTAAAATGATCAATGAGAAGAGCAATACTTTCCTCAGATCTGTGGAGCTCTGCAACATATTTTGATTCCCCCAATGTCTGATTGAGTGTCATTATGATTTTTGTAATATTTTTATTCATCTATTTTGTTAATTTGTTTAATTTAATTTTGTTATTTGAGATTAAAATAATTTCTTAATTCACCCGTTTAGTGTAATAGTGATGTATGTTGTAGTGATGTGTGGTATAATTATTATGAATAACTGCGACAATAAAAAAAAGGCTGCATGTTTGCAGCCAGAACCTTCTCCATTGATTAGGCTGCTGCTGGTATTCACAGTCACTGATGTATCTAGAACCTCTAGAAAGTACAGAATGATGTTTTTTTATGAAATTGGCCAAAATTAGTGTGATTGGTTGATTTCTCTGTCATAATTTCCTAATTATGCTGGTGATTTATCTGACATGTTAGGACTTTTCTTCAGCTTCTGAAGTCCTAACCAATAGGAGAGCTCACTTAGTTTATCTGCCCAGATACCACAGAGAAACTCCTGATTAGCCAGTTTTCTTTTTGGCATGACTGTTGACTTCCAGTGTTTGCTAGCAACATTAGCCTAGCTCCAGCGTTAAACTAAAGAAGCTAGATCTGGACACCACTTCGTCTTCTTTGACTGACGACATCTGGGTTACGTGTCAAATTGTGTAAATTTGACCTTTTTGCCGAATCATTTCTTTAAGCCTAAGCTTAATCGAAAAAAAAATTCCAATGGTGATTCACTGATTCCAACATCAGGCTTAATCTCTGTGCCCTGACATCATAGCCGAAACTAGGCAGGTTTGCCACAATGCTAATTACACAACGATAAACTGCACCCAATCTATCCTAACAGTGGGACTTTCCACATACATGCAACATAAACATAATCTGAAATTAATATTGAACTCTAAATGTAGATATTGTGACATTAACTGGGTTGTGCACTTTTTTTCTGTGAAGTTTGTCCAGCTTGGCAACAGTTACAAAACAAGAACACATCAGTAAGCAGAATATGGATGGGTCAACTGAACAGCAACCTCACCAAAATGCCCCACACAAACCAGCAAGTGTGGAAGTCAAGAGACCTTAGTTGTAGTAGATTACAATCTAAGTAGCCAGTGTTTTTGTATAATAGTATTAATAGTTATGTATTTGTGCATAGTTGTGGTATTAGCCTTTCGCATAACTTTAGTTCAACACACTAGAGCTTTGTTAGCTTGCTTGTAACGTGTAGAAATAATAATAGTTTGACTCCTTAATGGCCTCATAGGACAAAGCATACAGACTTTGGAACATTTTTGTTTACCACAGTGTGCATGAGAGTGATTTTCCAAACAAAACAAAACAAAACAAAAAAAACCCTATTTTTTCCCATTGAGAACAGTGGCCTAGACTCAGAGTTTCCTTATATGGCATGTCATCGGCAACAAATTCAGAGGTCTATAGTTCCACAAACACACTATAAAAAATTTGTTTTCACTTAAAAAACTAGGTTGTCTTAAATGCTGTAGTTAATTTAACTTAAAATAACAAGAGAAAGTAAGACACATTATTGCTGTGTTAACTTACTATTGGAATTTTAATTAACAAAAAAATTTAAAGATCCTCTTTCATGGTCAACTGAATTTTCCTCACCATTTAGAGGTCTCAAGGGTTTGAACACTGTCCAAGCTTTACTGTCCAGTCCATACAGTCCATATATGTAAACTAAGCTGCAAAAAAAGCCTGTTTTGAATGTATGGTTTTTGTGATGTCACATATATCCGCCCATTCAGCTTACAGCAGTTTAGCGCCACACCTTCATGCTGAAGTTATATGGAGTGTTTCAGCCTGGATTGCTTTTCAGAATGAAGCACAAAACAGGGCAACTCAGAACAGACCTCATTTACACATCTCAGTCCTAAAAACACAAGGGATTAAGAAAGGTTGGAAAATGAATTAGGATTGTTTGTGATGCATGAAACCACGCAAGTGTTATGCACATGGACCTCAGGGGGGAAAAATGAAATGTAAAAATGAAAAATGCAGACTGTGTGCCCTTTAAGGCAGTCCTGTAACTTTTTTAAAGTTAAAACAACGAATATTTACAGTGTAGTCGATATGTATTGGAGGTTAAGCAGTAGTTTCGGCAGATCACATACATCCCCATAGGATATTTCAAAGACCATATAAGCTACAGTGAAACCTGGTGCGTCATGTAGAGGACATCCTGGTCTTTCCAATGATACATCATTTGTGTGTCTTTAGCAACAGAGGTTCTGCCTTTTCAAAATGGCTGGCATCTCAGCAACCACAAATTTGTGGGTGCAATGGGTAGTTAAGAAATTTGCATTTATGATGTTTCTAAAGCCTTTAGTTGATACAGTTTAGAAAAACATTTTAGCTCGTTTGTAAAGCAATTTTTATTGATATGCATAAAAGTCTTACCACCTAACAGTATACTTTTTTGATGCCCTCTGTGGTGGACACTGGAACTTACTAAATCTGTTTTTTACATGAAGCTCATAGTATCACAGGTGAAAGGAAATTGACCAAGGCAGACAAAATGAAAGGATCATCACATCCCTCCTGATCCAGTTTGGGTTAGAAGCAACAACATGTAAGCTTAGCAGTTAAATACACTGTCGTAATATTACTGTATGTTTTTTTTTCTTTTTGGTCCTCATTTTTTGTACCGCCAGTTCATTAGAAAAGCTCCACAATTATACATTTAAAAATGAAGGCATTACAAATTGATGATAAGGAAACAAGAAATATGATATCAACATAATGACTATGCAATGTCCTGTTGTCCACTATAAAGGATGTTACATAAAAAATGTGTTTGTGAAAAAAAAAATTACTACAAGTTTTTTTCAGCGAATAGACTTATTATATCTTAAAAGCACATATTTATATGTGTACATATGCATATATATCGCTGCTGTCTGGACAAAACCTTGTTTCTCCGTTTTTGGAGTTTTTTAGTTTCAGACATAATTTAAAAATGCCCTTTACAATATATATAATGTATAAATATATATAGTGTATAAATTTCATGAAGAAAAAAGACCAAAGGAAACAGCCCAAAATGACTTGGGAAAAATGTCTGCTTTCATTGACTTACATTAAAAGTAGTGAAGGTTTTTTCCTTCTCCTGTAAAGGTACCACTTTGGAGATATAGGTTTTGTTCCGACAACAGCGAGATATATGTGTGTGTGCGAGTTTGTGTGTGTGTGTGTGTGTGTGTGTTCTCTTCTATAAGGCCCAAAAGAAACTCAACAAAAAGGCTTTATGTTCTGTAAATAAGCTCCAACCTTCACTGGAGAACAATAAAAACCTCATTAGATTTCACAGTCTTACTGTATTACCTAGCGTGGCCATTGTGTTTAGAAATCAATAAAACAATATTTCCCAGAACTTCTGCTAGGTGCCAAAAATGTCCTTGTCCGTCTTGCAGCTGGAAATGATATCTTAAGAGCTGGAGATATGCATCAACTGCAGGGAGCAGTGGAGTTCAGATTTTGCAATCACGACTGGGTGTGTTTTAAAAAAACACGCAATAAAGCAGTGATGTAATGCCTGTGAAACGGCTTTGCGTGCAATGGGACTGAACGTACCCTTCCACTTCAGTAGGAAGCCATTGAAGAAAACATGGGAAGTGAGAGGGTGGACTTAAGTAGACATGTGACATCTCATGCAGTCATCAAATAGAAGAAGTCAGCCAGGACAAGCACATCTTGAAAATATTTATTTACATTTTATTAACCATTTTCAATGTAAAACAACTATGATGAGACCCCCGACAGAGGCTGCCCTTAAAAATCTGTCTGTCGTATTTACATACATTTCGAAAAAGGCGTTTTAGAATCAAAAAATTAAAGCTCTGAAATATAATTTTTTTTTTTTTGAGAACAATGAAAACTGCAAAAAAGAAAGACATTCTCGTATGTACACAGCTGTCACAGATAACACTTATTTTATCTACTTTGCATAGAATTTAATGGGGAATTCCACTGACTTTTCTACATTTCTGAATAATCAAAAGGTTAAGCTGTAAGCAAAGTCATTCAGACTTTTTCACAGTGGTGGTGATAGGAACCAGATGTCTGAAGCCTTTAAAAGCTCCCTTATAGAAAGTCACTGTCTTGTATTGTTTTACAATAGTTTCGAGAAGGTTTTGGTCCAAAAACGAAACTATAAAACACATAAACCTCCTGAAGACACGTGTAGGTTCACTGCTGGTTTTGGACAGTAAATAAAACGGCTACATTTGTGTTGTAGACAAGGCGACCCCTGGTTCCTATCACCACCACTACAAAAGAAAAAACAGCTGGTTTCTTCACATTGAACCATTTAACATCAAACCACTCTGAATGGCTTTGTTTATTGAATTATGCAGAAATGATCTTAATTAAAAATCAGAGGAATTCCCCTTTAAGATACAGGATTAAGTATCACATCTTCATGAATAACTCTTAAAAATCTCTTTTATCAAAGTTTTCAGAAAGTTCGTCTGCTGCAAACAGTGATATGAATTAAGCTGCACTGCTTTGAAATTCCCATTTCACATGTCCAGGTTTGCTGCCGGCGCCCTCCAAATATGTGTGCGTTTTGGTTTTTTTTGGTTAAATATAGAATACATTTGTGCTGATATGTGCTTTCCCTTTATAGAAGAATCCCATTTCAGAGAGCTCCATTCAGTTTAGCTCACCTTAGATGACTCTTCTTCAACTAATCTCAGAAGTTCTGGCTGCCAAATGGATGACACTAAGTTCTTCTCTCACTGTCAATGGAGGCTCAATTCCTTCACAGAAAGAGGAAAAAAACAACAACCCAGCACTAAAACCAAAGCACGATCACTACCGTTCTGGCTCACGAAGCCAAACCACAGCCTAGTACAAGTCCCTCATAATCTCTTGCAGCAGTGGGTGTAACCACAGGTCGATCTCTGACTCTTTCATCAGCTGCATCAGCTGGACGTGGTGGGCCACCAGCTGTCGCAGGTCCGTCATCTTCTGCAGCACTTTGGCAAAGAGATGGAGGGAGTCGGGGTGGTTCATCTTCAGGTGCAGCTCCATGGAGTGGAGAACGTTCTCCTGCAGCTCCTCAATAGGCTTCACGTTCAGCAATCCTGGGCGATCTGTGGGGATCAAGAGAGCAAAAGGAGATAGTCAGACCGACTGTATATGTAAGTCTTTGGAAATAAATCAAATGTAATCATTTCTTTTCTGATATTTCACATACCGTCCTTGTCCAAACTAATTAAAAACCCCAAAACAGATATGTCCAGTTTTCCTGATTTTCAATTTTCTACATCCTTTGAGCACAGAGGCTAAACTTTACACCATGTGAAAATTTCACAATGAATGGGCCAACAGAAATTCTCCAGAATTGCTCAGAATAAGGTCTACAAAGGTTACAATTGCTTACCTTAAGCCCTTAAATGTCCAGAGCCTGTCAGCAGGCCCAAAGTTTATAACACACTTCTATAATCTAACAATAGGTCAGAGTTTGCACCAAAGTCCCTGTAGTTACTGCATAATACGCCTTAGTATGTAATAAGACTGGGATTTTCAGGGATTACAAGTAAAAGCATTTTTTCCCTCTCCTGTAAAGTTTTTTTTGGACAGCGGCAACAGGTTATATATGGAGGTATGAGGCTAATGTCTAAATCATCTCACACTCGCCTCAAACAGTGTATCTCAAACATACCGACATACTGTTATCTACAAAAAGTGCATTAAAAGACGAAGCATAGCTAAAAACAGTTAGTAGTAGTAGAAAACTAACTTTGTGGGAATGTAAAGCATTCACCTTTACAAAAGTACAATATTTGAAACAAATGCTGTGCTTTATAGTGACCCAATCTAATGATCTAGCCTCAAGCTATTACGTTAACAGCAAGCTAACAGATTATAGCCTAAGCTAACATGCTAGTCGTAATACAGCGATACAACACGATACGCTGCAATACAATACCAATATCCTTATAAATTTGATATTTGTTATTGCTTTAATGTCATTAACAGTTTTGTTGAGCTATGTCAGTATATAATAATTTTTGTTATTATGCTGTAATTATTGCTAATGCCCCACATAGGACTGAATATCACAGTTCAACACTGTTATGCTACCGAACAAATTACTTCTATACAACAGAGTAATGTTACTCAATGCCAAATTTCAATGGTGAAGTAGTCAGTCTTATCTAGACTGCTGATTGGCCTGATTACATCCCATATTTACCTCATTAACGTAAGCACTTTTACGTCTACAGTGCATGACTAGGTCCACTTCCATCACCTCACAGTCATTTCTGGTCATTACTTTGGGTTTGTAATTTAAAGGAATGTATTGAAACACCCACATAATGTAATTTACACAGCTTTCTTTCATATCTTCTCTCCTTTTATTCATTTTTAACAGAAGCGTTTCCCCCGTTAAGGTTAATTTTTCACATATCTCAATCTGAATAGTCAAAGTTCAAGGGTAAGATGTCATTAAATGGCCACAAAACGGTGACCAATAAATCTCAGCGATAACCACACGGGTGTTTTGAAGACCTCTTGTTAATGAGGAGGCAACATACGATGATAATGCCCAATCAATGTTCACAGTTAGCCAAACATAAATCTGCCTGTTATGGTCATGATACAAGTGCGTGTGAGCTCATTTCATCACAGCTAAGCAAAGGCCCATATAATGAGTCATACTCTTGTGGTGAAGTTGAGAAGAAAAGAAAAACAGTTTGAAGTAGATGCTATCAGCCACGTGTACTAGATATATTGACTCAAAATCAAAACACTGCCTTTGAGAAGACATTTTGAAAGTCTTCATAAACCTCAGACATGGTTAACTGTGTGTGGCTTCATTTGAATACGCCTTAAAGATCCTCTAAAGTATGCTGTCAACATTTACTGGTCTTTCCTGTGACTACACAATTGGTGATCACATGGCTGACCATCTGTAGGAAAAAAATCAGCAAGTTTGACCTGACCACTGCATTTCTCCTGCCCAGACTGTCATGTGCTTTCACTTCTTGTCATCGTGTGACTTCCAGCAACCAATGAGTGATGATTATACTTATTTCATTTATGGTGTCGTTCATTGCTATGTCATGGCTATTTTTTTTCTAGATGCGAAAAATATTTTTTTTCATTAACTTACAATGTATATTAGGAACATTTTTTCCTCCTCTAGAATTTGGAGTTGGAAGATTTTATTCAGACAGCTACATCCTCAGCCAAATGACGTTTTGTTGATTTTCCATGCTCTCCACTCAAAAACAACGTATTTAGGATCATGCGCCAGTCTACACTGCACCTGAAACTGGCGCAAAGCCTCAGTACATCAGGCCCTGACTGTTTTAATCTATGCAGTCCAATCAGAGATGTTGCTGTTGGTATAAATCAAGGCATGCACATGATCCAACAAACATAAGTCAAGATATGGTAGGCCAATCTTTAACCATGTCACATGTAAGTTATATTGTATTCACAAAATGTTGCAAACTGACATTTTATCCATATTGCTCAGCCCTACTAATCCACTATTAGTTTACTCCAATGCGCTTGAAAAGTTCAATAAACAAACATCCCAAAAAGTTGCAGACACTTAGTTTTTTATATCATGCAACACTGGTTAACCACACACCAAACCTGCGCTGACATTTGGTTCCTGCTAACCACGACCCACCTCCGCTGAGGATGATGACGGCCAGGAAAAGCGCCATGTCGCTGTCGTCCAGCTCCAGCATGTTGAACTTGACGGAGAACTCAAACTTGGGCTCCATCATCTCTCCAAAGGGCTTGCGCAGGCTCTTGAGGAACTCACGGGTCATGAAGATCTGGCCGTATGAGATGAGCGTGCCGTCCTTGTTCATGAGCGGTGCCATCATGATGATGAGCACCTCAATGACCCCATACTTGAGCAGCGTCACCTGGTCGTTCAGGTCCAGGTTCACGAAGCCCGGGATGCTCTTGGCAAACTCGGTGACCTCGCTGACCGCCTCAGCCGAGCGTGACTGGCAGCTGTGGAAGAATCGCAGCTCCACCTCACGGTGCAGCTCTGACTGCATCGCGCCCATGTTGGCCCGAAGCTGCTCGTGTCGGGGAAGCTGCCGACAGTTGATGAACTGCTCGCCCTCCACCAGGGACTTCATGTCATGGATGACGAAGGGCTATGAGACAGAAGAAAGAATTAGGGTATTTAAGTTTTAAGCAGTTCAGATATTTTGCTTTTGTGATAACTAGAGCCCGACCAATCTGAAGGTTTTGTGGCCGATATAGATACCCATTTTAAGGGGCTAACAATTCTGATAACCAATAACATTAGCTAATATAATTTTATATTGGAGATTTTAATTTCCTACTCTAATAGTTTTTGTTAGTGCTTTATGGACTGATTGTCAGTTCTCAATTGTCACCTTTCATAAACTCAATTAAAAAACAGAAGCTCTACTCTACTGTAGCCAAGGAGGCGGAGCGACCAAGGCTGATTTGCATTTTTGGTTTCTGTTCATCACCATTTTTCTTTTTCTTTAGTTCTCTTCATAAAAAACGTTACGTTATCTTCATGCTAAAGGTTAGATTTGCATCCATTTTATATATTCAGCCCAGATTCACCAGCATGTATTACTGTCATAGAATTAAACATATTGAGCTGCCCAGTTTCACAACTGTCGAAGATTTTGCTCTATTAATGGGACATCGCAAATTCAAATTCTGCCAATGACACCCCTAAAAAAGGCGATAATTATCAGCGATAACATTATCGGCCAAGAAATATATCAAACAGGCCCTAGTAACAAGGTAAAGTTTAACCTGGTCAAAGTGATGCACAGTTTTCCCCTTATCCCAAATGTAGCCAACCAGACACATTTGGTGTCCAAAGTTTTCTTCTTTAGTTTTGCATTGAAGCTAAGAGGCTAATGCAGCTAAAATAATGGAAGCTCATACTTCACAAACTGGCATTGTGCCAATTGTATGCCAAAATCATCACACATTTGCCTCAAACCATGTTGAATTGTTAGGTAATTTCAGAACAGACTTATGTGGTTTCTCACACTGTATGACACACTGATACTGTGTAACAGCTGCTGTTTTAGCTATTTCAGCTAAAATATGCTGTACAGTGTCAGAAACCGCAAGTCGATATGAGTTTACTTAGCAATGTGATTTGAGGAAAGGTTTGATGATTAGGCACACAGTTTACACAGTGGTGACTTGGCTGGCTAAAAGCTTTTAGCTACATCAGCTACATAAGTCTTAAAACTCCATCCAAACTTGTCTTGACTGATTGACTTATGTGGGGTAAGGGGGAAAACCATCACTTCACCCTGTATCACAGATGAAGATAATAGTCAGCTAATCATTTCTAAAGAAATAAAAAACATCTTAAATGATACAAAGATGCTTCAGCAAACAAAAACAGTGCTGTTAAAGTGGTCTGGGTGGAGACTACTTGGAATTGTGGCAGTACATTTAGATGTACTGAAAAAGAACTTGATGACTTCAACCTCAAAAATGTCCTCCCACATAAACCTTTTGGAAAACCTGAACAAGCAAAACGTCCTGAGAGAGGATCTCTGACATCATGTTATAAAATTGGTATGAGACTAGAGCCACTTTGGAAATGCTACTGAGAAACGTATCTATAGTAAGATGTAGGTTAATGACTTCAATGTAGTGAAATCAATTGAGAAATTTATAAAAATTAGATAAAACTGCTTAATGAAATTGTCACAAATTTAACTGTAAAATATTAGATGTAGATTTGTTTTGCTGGGATGAACAAATAAATTACAAATTATACAGCTATGATGAAATTCTTCTCTGGGGTTTTTAACCTTCATATTGATAATCCATCAGACAGCAAAATTCATTAGATTACTATCTAGAGACATTTGACATAAAGCAACACGTGGGCAGCCCTACCCACAAGCTAGGTCACTTCCTGTGTCTGATAAACACTAAAGGTTTAAACACAAATGTGGCCCTTATTTCTGTTTTCATAACAGATTATTCTGTATATTCCTTCAAGCCAATACAGAAGTTCAGGAAAATTATTTGAAAAAGTGTTATATTTATTCAGAAATTGTTGAGAAGTTTAAGAATATTTACAATAGTGCATCAAATACAGGTCTAACTCCCTCCTGTAATGAGCTGGTATCTGATCTTAACGCTAGATTAAACTAAACTTTTGGCACTCTCGCTCCAGTCAAATGAGAGAAAAACTTGCGTACTCCTGTGGATGAATGAAAAAATACCCTAGCTTACTGTCATAAAACTGGAAATGAAAATTATACTTTCAAAGAGCAGATCTCCTCCTACAATGAAGCTATGAAAATATCCAATCACACCTCTGTAGTGTATTGAAAAAACATAAAGACAGTACCAAAGTCCTTTTTTTCACCATAGACTAATTAACTCTAACTTGTCAGCTAGTGTGTCTCATGGTGATTCATCTTCTAAAATGTACAATATTTGCAATTCATTTTCAAAATAAAAATGCCTTGGTAAGACAGAGCGTAGCTCAGCCGACTGAAACAAGCTCCTACAACCTTCCTGATAAGCTACCTACATCAGTGATGACCTCTTTCTCTGTTATCAATTATTAGAAGTGTTATAAACAAATTAAGTTCATCCACGTGTGATCTTGACCCTTCTTCTACTTAACTCCTCACGAGGGTTTTTGACTGTGTTCAAAATGATGTCTTAGAACTCCTGTAAACTGTTCTCTGTAAACAGGTGCTTTTCCAGACACTTTTAAACCAATTTTACACCTTTTTTAAGTCTCAGAAAAAGTTGTTTTCAAATTAAAGTGTATCTAATATCAAACAAGTTGTGTGAGCAGTTTCAATCAGTTTTTTGCTTTAACCGTAGTACTGAGACAGCACTGGTTTGCATTGTGAATGACCTCAGGCTCAGTGCTGATGCACAAAATCCTTCTATTCTGGTCCTACTGGATCTTAGTGCAGCCTTTGACACCGTTTCTTTACAAAATTGTAATTCACCATCTTGAATACTGGGTAGGCCTGTCAGGTACAGTTTTGGAATGGTTTAAACCATATTTAATAAAAAGACAAATCTTGGTTTCACTGGGAAATCATTCATCAAAAGAACTTCACATTTCCTGTGGAGTGCCACAAGGTTCAGTTTTAGGGCCTTGGCTTTTCTTTGTAAATGCTACCTCTAGGTGATGTCACTAGGAAACATGATATCAATTTTCATAGTTATGCTGATGATGAGCGGTTTTTCAGTTTCCATTTCCATTCCTATCACAGTTTCATAGTTTCTTCTTTTACTGTTAAGCTTTTTCACTTGTCTGTAAAGCACTTCAAGCTGCCACTGGCATAAAAAGAAAAAAGATCATTGGTAACACTTTATTTGGAGCGGTCCTTTGAAGATGATTAATAAACTTTTAACAGATTATCAGTAACACATCGACAGTATATCAGTGAAGAAGCAGTAGTGAAGCATCTGAATACACTAAAGTAAATATCTTGTAGATGTTCTGTTGATACATTACTTACATTAAGTAGACGTAATGTTAATATGTTACTTCCCTTACACGAAACCTAACCTTACCCAACTTTACCCACAACCTTATCCTAACCCTTAATTTAGCATTTCTAAGGAAAAAGCAGAACTTCTTGGAACCTGGTACAGTACGTCTCCCTTTTGCTTTAATGACATATATATAGTTATATATACAGACCTTCAGGAAATGCAGTATTTTACTCTTACTTCTGCCAACCCTGTACATTTTTAAAAGTTTTCATATTTTACACCATTTAAAATCACCAGCTACCCTGCATCAGAACAACAAATATAGTCTAAAATGACTTAAGTTCATAAATGTAGTTATACTAACATACATAAAGTTAAGAATGTTCTTTCCTTTTCCTTTAAAAAGTTGCCATTTCTTACATGTGAGGTTTTGTTACAACAGCTACACTATGTCCTTTCTCTGTCATCACCTACCGAATTATGAGAGGGTTATAACCTGAAATAGAAGCAGGCGGCCATATTCAAGGAGTGGAGTAGTTGTTAACACGATGTCTGGGATTCTAGGCAAATCTTCCCCGGGTGTTTACTCTTGTATTAGGATAGAAAACACATTCCAATTATCTGAAATCCCAAGGTGACATATTTCATCTTAAGCCAAACACCTTTGGACTGACCGTGCTGTATAAATGCTTGCAGGAGTGGACATGCCTGCATTGTTTTATAAAAAGCAAATAAATCTCAATTAGGAATTGTCCTAAAAAGATAAATGGATTTATACTGGAGCCAGTTACAATACAAGTTATTTTCTGAGGGAGAACTTGACCTGAGCCAAGTCTACTGTTTGGAAATACATTGGCAAGAACATGTTCTGGCATTACCTCAAGAGTTGTCTATATCTTTCCTCCTAAGCTTTATAGCACTGCAGTTCTGCTGCCTGGGCCTTCATAAATATTTCCGCATTCTCGAGGCAACCAGATGTTCGGTATCATTTGGACCATATCTTGGTTCATGCTAGTCAAAACAGCCGTCCAACAGCCTTGGTAACGTTTCTTTCCAGAGAAGCATGAAGCAATATTTTTATTCTGTATTTCTGCTGTATGTACTCTAATATATAAAGACTGTATCTCTAACGGAAAAAGCAGAAAAAAGAGCAGAAAAGAGATAATTTTGTTATAATATTGCAGTAAGAATGTAATCAGATAAAAAAGTGTCAAAAATAGAAACAGCCTTGCGTGTGCTGCTCACTTGCGTCAGTTGCTGTCGTTACAAGTCTTTACGGCAGGCTTGGCAGGTGCAATAAAGTTGTGGCTGTTTCTTTTTAATGCTTAGTTTCCGTTGCTGTATTACAGGCCAACAAGACGAAGTGATATTCATTCATTCATTAATGGAAGGTAGTGGTACTCATGGCACGCCTCTCAGCCAATCACACTGCGAGGAACTAGGCTAACTGTGGTACAATACGTGCATCGCACTGTACTGTTCAAGACAAGGCCCTCGATTCAATATGCACAAGGCATCAAACAATATATTCAACAGACCGGAGTAAATTAAGATCTCAGTTTAAGTTTTTTATTACTTTGTGGCTAATATGTTAGATAGCTAAGGTATTAGCTTGCTGATGTTGATACAGTGTTAGCTCGTGGCTGCAATGCCATTTTCACTCATCTATACACGTCACCCTTCTCAGTCAGTGGAACTGGAAGAACACAGCTTAACAATTCAGTGCTGCGGTCGTTAAGCTGAGACGATATATCCTGTTTTTTCTCTCATATTTAATTTTGTTAGATTATAAATAAAGCACAGCTTTTGTTTATATTTCTACGCTGCTAAGAAATCAGTCTGAATGAATCAGGCAAAACTCTGCTGTGCCAAACTAAACTAAACTGAAAAATGTAAAATTAACATGTTAACCTAAGGAATATGTTGTATTTTGTGAATCGTTACACCCCAATTAATAATTTCAACAGGTAATTACATCTAAAAAATAAATGATGGTAATACTCCTGACCTCTAAAGGTTAAACTCACACAGTGGGTCTAAGGTTTCATACCATCAACAATCAGATATCTTCGTCATTTGGTTGCTAATGGAACTGATAACTCGAATAGCACAGGAGTTCAAGTAAGTGCAGTTGTAGTCATAAGACCAGCATGTGTTAGAAACCTGAATTTCTGCCTTTCATCTGCCTGAAGCATTCTGTTCCTAACGCTTCTGCAAATGTTCAGATAACTAGGGCACATAACTATTCATATACCTGCATTATCTGCAGCAAAACCTTTCTTAATGTACTGAATATTATTGATTAACAAAGGGTTCGCTGAATGACCCCCGTGAGCCCAGGCCTATTATTCAGTTATTTATTATTCACCAATTACAAGGAGGCCCGTTACAATTACTACATAATTGTCTCAATTATCTGAGATGATTGCAGTTACTTTAATTGGCCATTGTTTTTCACAGTGTTAGTTTTTACACAATTATTGTATCACAACAACCAGAATGTGAAATGGATACTTTTTTTATTAGCTGGCTCAAAATAAATACATATAAATGAAAGGAGGCAGGAAACAAATTCCCTTCCATAAGTTATGAAAACACCAGGTTTTAACTTTTAACTGGGTCTAGGGGAATCTTTGCTCTAGAGAAATGTGAGTTTGGGTGGCTCTACACATGATTCTGTTTAGCTGCTTAGGCTTGTACTTTAAAATGACGTTAACCACAATTATTTATATGAAACTTTTTTTTAGCTACAATTTACGGAGCCCCTACAGTGCCTTTGCAGAAAAAGAAAAAATTTGCAATTGCATTGCATTCTCTTGCAAAATATTTTGTTAGCGTTTTGCTGTCCCATGCAAAAATTCACTGCATTTGCAAGAGAATGCAAAATTATTGTGAGGGAACATAAAATATTTGCGAAGAAATGCAACGTCATCACTTTTTTTCTTAAACCATGGCTTCTTAGGGGCTTCGTAGGAATTTCAAACAGACTTACATAAAGCTTATTTAACGGAAAAGCTTAAACATACATGCTAACATGGCCAACGATAAATGAAAGCCACGGATTAGCCGAAAGCCACCACCACTTGCATAATGCTAATTGATGGTCATTTGCTTTCATTCACTGTTAGTAACACTAGCTCCCTCCATATTTTTCATGGCTTATTCAGTTTATAAGCCAGCTGCAAATTCACGTTTTGGGATTTTTCTTCCACAGGAAAGTGCAGTACAGAGACAAACAGCATAAAAAAATCCTCCAACTCACTGCATTGTCGCTGGTCTTCCCTGAGAGGATAGCCCTGGCCTTGGCTTTGGTCAGGGGGAAGTTCTTAAGATAGGAATCGTAGAGCTGCTTGGCGAGGGACCTCAGGTCGGCCGCCTCGGGGTGTATGTGGTCCATATCAGTGGAGAACTCGGCCAAGAGCTTCTCCTTCTCTGCCTGGGGCATGCGGCCAAAGCGAATGGCTGGGAAAAAAGGAAAGATGCCAAAAACATTCAAAAACCCCCAAGAAAATCCCAAAATCCAGCATGTTCACGGTCACTTGTAATATGTTCACTCTGGGGATAAGTGGGTGGGATGTGAAAAAATAGGGAGTTTGTTTTTTAAGTGCGTGGGTATGTTGATGGATGTCACTATGACCTGAGTCTGTTTCCTGGATACAGATAAATTCAGCTCCTACAGGGGCTTCCAATAGTTGAAAATACTTTTTTAGTCCAAGGTCACCACAGAAACCACCACTGTAAGTTAATTTCGATGAGTGATGTCATCCATGTAAGTGTACATAAGCAGTACCACAGACCAAACTGCATAGTCACAGAACTTGTGCAATGACCATTGAATCATAGAGGATTTCATTAAGGTGAGAACATACTGTGTCACATGATTACCTTCTGACTCACTATCAGGCGGACCAAGTTTATATAGGCTCCAATTGAACGGACCTGCCGACGCAACACTTCGCTAATCTCCGCTTTATCATCCTGCAGCACTGAAACTCACGCACCGTTTCAGGCTGATATGTTCAAAGGGAAAAGAAAGGAGGTCGAATTTTATTTTTTTTTGTGTAACATAGAGCGGGAGGGGGTGTCACGCTGACATAATGAATGAAAGACAAGCCGCCTCACTGACACTTGTAGAAGGTAGTCAGGTAATCAGCAGGTGAGTTTCCCTTTGAAGTGTAGCATTAGTAAGAGTTCACTGATGATGATAATTTACAAACAAAATTATAATAATTCAAATTAGGAAACTACATTAAAACATCCCGTTCCATAAAGGCAGTGTTCAGCTCTTGCTGATGCTAACAAGGACAGCTATTATGATTAAATGCTGAAAAAGAAGGATATTGTGATTCATAGAAACTGTGAGTGACCCTGATTAAGGACCTGATAACTTTGGAGAAACTCTCGTTTTAAGTTAATGGTAAATATCATTTGATATAATTAAGATGTGGGAATACCGCTTTAATGTCTAGAATTGAAGATAATATCAATAACCTTAAGAATCTGGTGCTAAAATAATCCTTAATTCTGTTAAAACTGTGTTATAATATGTGTATGAGGACCTCCCTGCCCTTTTGTTCATTTTAGTGTCAATTCAGTGTAGGAACAAAACTTTGTGCTTCCCGTTTTTCAATTTGTATACAACTTAAATCAAAAACAGCTGTGATATATCGCTGCAGTTGGAACAAAACCTTATCTACACTTTTGTCATTTTCCAGTTTTAGACATCATTTGAAAGTACCAGTTGCCCTTTATATTGTGTGCAAATTTCATAGTGAACGGACCAAAATAAATTGCCTGAAATTGCTTGGAAAAATGTCTGGTCCCACTCACTTAGATTTAAAGTTTGTTTGTTTGTTTAAAGTCTGTTTTTTCCTTCTCATGTAAGTTACTATTTTGGAGATATGAGGCTCCAACAGCAGCAATATGTGATGAACAGACCAACAGAAATGGTCCAAAAAGACAAACTTGCATTAAATTACATTGAAAGTTGAGACTTTTTCCTTCTCCTGTAAAGTGACATTACTGGAGATACAAAATTTAGTTCCAACAGCGACGATACAAAAATCTAATGGACACATCTTTTTTCACCTCCTATTTCCTCTGCTTGACAAAAATGCCAATTTGTAGCAGTTTTTCTATTCATTTTTCGTAAATTTAGACAAACGCTTCCTCAGAATTATTGCACTAAACAATATAATCGTGATCCAAACTCAAGTTCATAATTAAATAAACTAAACAGCCTGTTTTGAATTCACTTTTTCTGTGATGTCATGAAAACCAACACATATCCCCACATCCGCTGCCTTTTCAGCCTACAGCAGTTTAGCTCTGCCCATCCATTATCAGGAGAGTTTCAGCCTGGACTGCTTTTTAAACAAGACACAGTACAGGAATCAAAACTGAGCTTGTTTACATGTCGCTGTTTTCGGAACAAAACCTTGTATGTCCAAAATGATAACTCAGTGGAACCAAACGTTTTTCCAAGTCATTTCATTCCATTTTTTTGGTGCATTCATTGTGAAATTTACACACAGCGTAAACAGCAACAGGCATTTTCAAATTATGACACAAACTGAAAATGGACAAAAATGGAGATACAAGGTTTTGTTCCGACAGCAGTGATATATCAGTCTTAAAAACAAGGCAACAAAAACAGAGTGTTCAATTGTAAGGCTGAAAAATCGTCATTTAAAAGTGAATTATGACTGTTTTGGTACATAAACCCACACAAATGTTAGAAGTACACCTCCAGGGGAAAAATAATGTAAGAATGTAAATGTAGGATAAGGGCCCTTTATTAATTTACAGTAACTATATTCTGAACAGACAGCATGTGACGCTGGTAACATCCAGTGGTTCTCTGTGTTAATTTGGTCAGAAACCAAAACTGTCAATATGGTGTGTTGGCATCCTTCTACTGGACAAGCTCGTCCATTTTATTTTCTTATTTATTTTTCTTTTTTATTTTCTAATTTGTTTTGTTTGCAGGGCCAAGTCAGGCCCGTGGCACAATCCTTTTTGGCCAGCAAAATTATTTTAATTTTCTGTTAATATTAGCCCATTTCACCATGAGCTGCACTACAGCTCCCAGTATGCACTGCAACGTAATGTGTGCTCCCACCTCCTCCCCTACAACGATCTATGGGACAGCACCACAAAAACAAAAAAAACTGTACACTGGGGACATTTAAAGAGGTTTAACAATGATCTGCAGCTAAGGCAGTCCATTGCTTTATATAAAACAACTGTTTTTACTTAAAATGTTTTTTGAATCGTTCAAGTATTCAGTGCCTGTTTTTGCTGTTGTAGTCTTGGTGAATTTTGAACAAACAATGGCCAGTTGGGGTCACGGCAAAATGTTAAGTAAAAATCTAATAAAAACACAGCTGGCCCACAGACTTGTTGAGATTCCTTAATATGCCCCTTTTAGTGGTTGAGTTTGACACCCCTGATCTAAATATTACATAAACATAAATATTATATTATCGCATTATAGATTACATCATTACTATAATTATTGTTATTGCTCATTATCAAATTTTGTCCGTTACAAAATGATGACAATAACAGGGCTCCTTTAAACAGTTCTTTTTCTCTGCACATTTACATGTACAAACATGGCTGGTGCATGCAAACGTTAAAAGCCTGTAATTTGGGTCCTCTCCCACACTCGATCCTGAGTATTTGACTAGGGGGTAGGAAACGTTTGAAAAGATGACGTGTGAAGCGTCAAGCCCACGGTGGTGCCTTTAAGCCAACAAGGCAGCGAAACTTATCTAACATTTTTTTCCCTTTCTCCAAAGGAAGGGACGTCAACGTCGCTTTCTCGCATATGCCTTGACTTGTTGCAAAACTGTTTTGATTAATAGTGAGCCATCATATCCATCACACCTTTTGTAAACCCTGCGCACGCCTCTCTGCCTCGCTCCTACTGTACACCTTGGCAGGGAGCCAGGAGCAGTGACATGGCGCATTTGTGGCGGCCGGCTCTGCGCCTTCATGAATCATTGATAAAAAAGAAAGCAGGCTTAAGCCTGACGAGATTTCACCCAACCAGCGCGAGCCTGCGTGAAAAGCCAGAGGGCGGGGGAGCACGCGAAGGCGAGAGAGGAGGGAAAACAAAGGCAGCCAATCAGAGGCCAGCAGGGCTGATAAAGACAAACTCTGATGACCCTGCCGCTTGCAGAGCAACACCTGCAATCAACTGCTAGAAACAGCTTCAGCATGGCGTAACTCAAGATGCCTGAAGAGCAGTCTGGTTCTGCCTGAAGGTTAAAGAGAAATACTTGAAAACTCAAAGTGGCACGTATCATGTTCCCAGCAGCACATGAAAATGTAGCATGACTTGTACATTTACTGTAATGAACTGAAGGCTCTTTTTTAACCCCTGAATTTCCCAGGCTTTTTACATACTAATGCTTATTATTCAGTAACTACAGGAACCTCAATGCAAACTGAATGAGCTATTCTTAGCTTATAAAAGTGTGTAATAAAACTTTAGGCCATTAAAGAGGTTAATGCTGGAGTTGGAGTGAACCTAACAAGTGATTAAACTCATATCCTACTTTTTTTTGTAGTTTAGTTCCGCCTACAACATTTGTGCGGTTTTATGTATCAAAAACAGTCAATATTCACCAGTCAAAACAATATTTTTACATGACCATTTTCTTTCTCAAACAGGCTGTTCTTGCTACTGTGCAGATATAAATGACCTCCTGATTGAAAAAGCAATCTAGGCTGAAACACTGCTTCTAACTTCTGCGTGAGTGGGCAGGGCTAAACTGCTGCAGCCTGAATATAAGCAGGTATATGTAAATGCATTGGTTTTCGCAACAGTTTTGCAGCCTAGTTTCCATATATGGACCGTATGTACTGGGAAGTGAATCGGATGTTCTGAAATTTTAACAGTGTTTACATGCAACAAAAAAATTAGTTCTCCATGATAACAGGACCTTTAAAAAAGTAGAGATGCCACAAATGCAGTTAATCTGAATTGTCTTTTGTTAGTTTAGTTAGAGCTATGAGGTTAATGTAGCTAAGTAGAATTTCTGGTTTCTTACACCAAATGACATATTGTTATATATATAAAAAAGGACAATATAATAAAGACAAATAAGTTATTTATATTTATATTTTTTAGGGCTTTAGTTTTTGTTTTGGTCTTTTTTCTCATTGTTTATGTTCATGCTGCTTATATAATGGCATTTTATTAAGTAAAACGTTTATGGGTGTGAGAAATGCACTATATAAAATAAAACATATTACTACATTTATGGTATTTGGCAGAAGCCTATGCCAGTAACAGAATCCTCTTATTTGGATAATTGTGTGGAAAATAGATATGTGTGATGCGTCTTTCTTTTATTTGCTTTACCCTTTATTATTTATTTCCACAAAGTGTTCTCGTTTTCTCCCGGTCATTTTGAGACAGTCCCCAACACTGAAGTGGACATGAGAGCACACACAACCATAGCGCGTAAATTGAGGCTTAAAATCCATCAAATAAACTGAGGTTGTAGTAAATTGTTATCTTTAATTTGGAAGTTGTAATTAATCTAAAGAACAGACTTACGAAACTTTACCATCTAAAGTCGTGGTGTTTGTAGCCGCCGATGTTAAGCTGTACAAGAGCCATGACAATGTTACTCTAAACCCAAAGGTGTTTTGTCTGATGCCTGAAACCTGAGGCTGCGATATGAGGATGTCCTAAACACCATAATGGCTTTTTGTACAGGCATCATATCCGCCTGCAGAAATGGCACAGTGTCCCCGTCCCAAGTCTCCCCTAAGCACATTCAACCAGTGCAGCTCAACAGCCGCGTTTCTAAAACAATCTATGCTAGGTACAATAAATGTGGTATTAATGTACGATCTTACATAACACATGTTCAAAAGTTCAGATATGTTTACATGTGGGAATACCTTGCTCTGGTGATCTCAACCAGAGTGACTTATAATTTAATCAGGATATAGAGGTAGCAAATGTAGCGTAAGGAGTCTTGCCCAAGGACTCTTACTAGTACAGAAAGATGAGCTGGCCCAGGCTGAACCCCAGTCTGAATGTGAAATTTAGGGGTGTGCCCCAAAATACTATACCAAACATGACATACTAGACAATATAATATTGTATAAATTATGAAATAGACAATACTGTATACAGTGCAGTATAAGTATGAAGAAAACTCTGGCTTTATAATAGCTGCAACTACTGTTTTTAGCTATGCAGCGTATTTTTGTGTCAGGGTCAGGGACCACATAACCAAGTCTATTCAACAATTTCACAGCCCAGCATGGTTTGCGGCAAGTGTGATATTTAGGCATGCAGTTAACACAATGCTAATTGATGGGGCATAAACTTTCATTACTTTATTATTAGCTACACTGGCCTTGCAGCCACATAGTGCAAAACTAAAGAAGCAAACTTGTCCTTGCTGGTTCACTACATTTGAGGTAAGGAGAAAACTGTATAATGCAATATTGATAATGATTACTGAATATTGATTTTGTGTTGTTCTATTCCTTTGAGGAATGATTCTATGCCAATCGTACGTATTTTCCTAACCATGTGATACAATGGAAGACATGTACACTTGTTCACTTGTTGATCTGAGGGAAAGTGACTGTGAAAAAAGAGAAAAGAGTTTGTGGCAAAGTCCTAATAAGAACTGAAAGGTGATCTAACTCCCAAAACAGAGCAGCAGCAGCATTTTTTCATAACAATTAGAATATCAGTTCCTTATTTATAGATATAATGACAGAGTGAAAGGGCGTAGGTGTTGTACGCAGCCATTTAATTGTCTTGTGGCATCACGTAGATATTTTGGAAGCTGCCCAGCAATGGCAGACACTTCACACCAAAACTTCCGTAATTCTTTACATACTATTGCAACAGTGCTATTTCAGCAGGGTTTATTAGACTGCAAGATGCCCTGAGTGAATGTAAAGAAAGCTTCCAGACAGAAAAAAAAAAGATTTTACATGTTAATGTGATGACATCCCAAATCTATTTATAGAGAATAGTGAACAACCAGCTGCGAAGACCTCCAAGCTTTGTTAAAACTGTAAATACAAAAAGGCCAAGGAAATAAAACGTCTACTCATAATGATTATGATGAAGAGTTAAACTGCTGCCTGCCTGTTGTAAACAGGCCTGCTCAGATCCTTCAGTGGTGCCGCAATAATCTCAAGAGCGAGATTTTCCAGTTTAAAGTCTAGGAAAACCACCTATGATGATATATCTTGAAGGCGAGAGAAAGTTTTGCATACATGAAAATTCAGTTTAAAGGGTTACAAATTCAGAAACCAATACCCTGGGGGCACCAGCGTCATACCTGGGAGAACACTGCAGTGATTTTAACATAGAAATCCTGCTGCAATTCTGCTGTAATTGCTGTGGAGTTCAACAGCTATGCAAAAAGTAATGTCAATTTTGACTTACTAGTTAAAAATCGTTTGTTCAACAAATGAAGGTCAAAAAGGCCCACATGTACAAAAGTAGCTAAGTTGCTAAGCTCTTGCTGCAGTTTTGTCTACAGACAAAAACGAATGTACTTGATTGGTCGCAAACAGTGATCATTTTTACACTGTTCCAAAGCCATCGGAAAAAAAAATCTGAACAAGCGAAAACCAACTTCACCACTCGCAACACGTGGCCCTCTTTTTACGTTTTGGTAATGTCGCCTTTATTCTGATTGGCCAATAAAAATAAAAGTACATGATTCATGTGAATGCACTAAATGATATCTTGGCAAATAAAAGATAATTTTTGGCAGCCTGGCATATTCATCATTCAAAATGGTGAGTTTCTCCAAAAGGTGTTGAGTTTGCATGTATGTTTTTGAAAAACTACAGTTGCTTTAGGGGGTAATTTGTGGGGACAGACTGTTTGAAATGTTGTTTCCCACTAGCTGGCTAATGTAGAAGGAAGCAAACTAACAAAGATTTCTTGACAGGAAGCTGAAAATCACATCTGTCTTTACCGGCTTCTGAATCAGTGGGTAGTAGTCAGATTTCTTTATCGCAGTGACGGATAATTCAGCGGTTGTATGAACATTTGTGTGAAGCATGCTGGGTACTGTAGTGTGAGAACAAAAAAGAGAGAAAAAGACTGTAAATTCTCCACATTTGTGAATTCTGTCAAATCAATAAGGCTGAGTGATGTAAAGCTGCACTACAGATTATTAAACAACATGACAAATGACAGTAAATGGTAGTTTTAGGCTGTAATGTACTTTACACTGTACTAGTTTTGTATTAACTGATGGTGGTTTTGATGGAAGAATTAATGAAACCATGATAGCGCTGAGATAGGCTTTGTTTTGAGGTTGCAGAGGGTGCGAATGTGGGTGTTACATTTCAAGGGAAGTTGTTTCTCAGTCATGTGGCAGTGCACGTTTGAGTGCTCTGCACTTTCTGACAGCAATGCCACATACGATGCAGGTAGAGACCGCAAAGAGGAAGCAACAAAAGCAAGCAGGCCAAGATGCTGCTGCCTCAGTGGTACAGCCATATGAAGAGTGTCTGCCTTTAGCAGCTCGACCAGAAACAGTTTTCTCTGAAACAGCAGGGCCTTTCCCAGACTGCACTTTAAAGGGAGAGATCAGACGAAAAATGCTAAAGTTGTTAAAGCTCAATGGAAACTAGTGGTGCACGGAAGTCAGCAGTTAGCACGATTGATAACTGGCCAGTCTGGTGTTTTTGTCCCGAGACGGGTGTGTAGAAGAGGGGTCTTACCATTGTGTGACATGCCCACCATCAGGCACTTCTGGAAGCGGCAGTACTGGCACTTGTTGCGGCTCTTCTTGTGGATGCGGCAGTGGAGGTCGCAGTGGTCGTAGACTAGCTTTAGGCGAATTGTTCGGCGAAAGAATCCCTGAGAACAAAAAGAGAGGTGTTAGGAAGGATTTCTTGACCTCTTCAGTGTGAAGACATCAAACTTAAAGGTTGCGATGTCTACACAAATACCACTAGTGAACCTACATGTGTATTCTGAGTTTTTATATTTAATGCTGATGATTTTAAAAACAACGTTTCAGGCATTATGCAGCATATTCATAACCTTTTTTAATGTAAAAACTTTTTTGTGATGTAGCTTTAAGCAGCATTAAATCTTTCAGACCCCTGGTTCCTCTTACCACCACTGTGAATGATTCTCTCTAAAGTTCTGCGGTAGAATATTGGTGCTGTTGGAACAAAACCTCGTATCTCCAAAATGATAACTTTACAGGAGAAGGAAAAACGTACTTTACTTTTAACGCAAGTCAATGGAACCAGACTTTTTTCAAGCAATTTTGGGCCATTTCTTTTGGTCCATTCATCACAATATTTGCACACAATATAAAGGACAAAAGGAATTTTCAAATCATGTCAAAAACCGAAAAACACCAAAAATGGAGATAAAAGGTTTTCTTCCGAGAGCAGCGATATACTGCCATGAGAAATCGCCATTTGAAAATGCCAGCTGCACTTTGCATGAGCATTTCATGATGAGCGGACCAAGTGAAATTCTAAAATAAGCAAAGCTATGTTTGCTTGAGCTACATTTGCAGGCGTTAAGCTTGTTTTCATCCTTCTCCTACAAAGTTACCACTTCAGAGATACCAGGTGGTTTACTGAAAACAGCTTCTCATATATGTGGAACCAGTATGTATTTATTCTGGCCTTTTTGTTCTGCATTAATTTACCCTTTTTTTTTTTAGAACAGCAACACTATCCACAAGGGCAAAAAGACTCTATGAAGAGTTTCCAAGCACCTACATATGTTCGGGGGAGCATATAAATGACTCAGTTAAACCAGTAGCTTTTACAAGTATGTAACTGTATGACAGGGGTGGGTTATATGATGATATTTTGTTATCATGTAGGACACCATTTCATTTCAATGAGCATGTTGTTCATATGATCAGTACTTAAAGAGCATTGACCAACTGCATGTTTCATCTAACAGAAAGTATAATTAGTCCTGTTTAAGTGGGTTTAGTGCACAGTGGTATGTAAAATGCTGAATAATCATCATTTTATTCACTGTAATTTTTGACAGCAGTTTTAAAATGTGACACTAATTGTGGATTTTGTTTCAAATAATCATGATACATATCATGATATACTATTTATGCGATGTCGCCCACCTCTACTGGGCGAATGAGAGAAAATCACCTCCCAGTCCGTTCCCAGTGGCAATACAATAGTGCTTCCCCAAGGACCCCCAAAAACAGGTAATACAACAGATAATATAACAGATAACAGATAAAATAACAACACGCGCACTTGTGTTAGCTGTTTTAACACTTTCTTGTTTTGTGTTAAAAGTAACACAAAATGAGCTGAACACACTGATGTGTCTAATTTGAGACAGAATGTGTTGTGTTAAGGAGCATATGTATTTTAAAGATTAATCAAGTGACTTTCATACAATAAAAAAGGACAAACCGTAATCAACCATGCACAGCTTTCCAAAGATTCCAAAATACTTAAATGGAAATAAGATATACTAGAAAACCTTTTAAAAGGCAAAAATACTAGGCATATGTGCCAAAAAACTCTAACATAGGATAACTTATTTATGTGTATTATCATAATGCAAAAAGATAACTTTATCAATAATGCAGGTTTTAATCAATATCCAATTTTCTTTTTAATCGAGTAATTGTGACAGCCCTTATAGAATCTGTACACCATATGCATGTCTTTTTAGCACTCTGCCACTTTGCTAAATGTAACTGGCGAGACGGTTATCAGACTTGTTAATGAAACTTCACATTCAACACACAAAGAAGTTCCTCAAAAATGTTGTTCTATCTGTCTAGAGCTATTAAAACGAGAACCAAGATTTATCAGAGCACTACCACTCATTCTCGTCACGGCCAACTATAATTTTGCATTTGGTTTAAACCCACAAGCCGAGCTTAGCGCTCAGTACACATTTGGTTACAGCACCTAAGTCAACTGCAAAGTCATTATTCACCCAAAGATAACCCAAAGCTTCATGATAGGCAAGGCTTATCTATATAATACACCATTAGGACACAACAGTATTGCTTAGATTGGACTTTGGCCAGAATGCTGATCTTAATATAGTCATTAATAAAACCAGATGTCTCCACAGATTATTCATGCTGTATATCAGCAAAAAAAGAACAGTAGTTGGCCAGTAAATAAACAGTAAAGGATTAGTTTCCAGTCAATATTCTAAATTCACACCACAGCAGGTGATCTCTGATTGGCTTATCAGGTGCCACTGATACCCACACTAAAGAAACTAGAAAATGAGTTAAGACTGCAGCCACAAATCTATACTTTTTGAAGATTTTTCAACTGAGGTTAGGTTTGTACATGACTGTGTACTGGCTCAACACACCTTTTGATTTTGACTTGCAGTGACATACATGAACGGAAGAAGGACAACAAAACTGAGAGGATGTTTTCCATGTACTTTCTGTACCCCACCACCACTTTATGGTTAATTTTAGAAGTATTTTGGACTATAAATAGAAATAGGATGTTGGGGGCTAACATTAACTCTCCACCCAAAAATGGCTTTTGTATTTTAGAACAATTCATGTATTAACCTTCTTGGCTGAACTTAACTTCAGGCATTGTTATTTGACGTGACAGAAACGAGCCGGATCTTTCAGATTCGGGTGCAGTTTGTAGTATCAATAGAAACATTCCATTCATATTCAATTCAATCATTCAGTTCTGGGAAAAAGTTTCCTCACCAGGGAATGGGTGTTTTTGCATTTTTCCAAGATCATCCAATTACAAGATCACAGAGGCGTTTTTTTACGGCTGCTGTAACTTATTTTGTTAATCTGTTAAGCTTTAATCTATACACTTCTTCGGTTCAACCTAATGTCTATCAGCAAATTTAACTCATTTATTCAAGTCAAACACTTTTAATGAAACCATGGAAGACTGGCAAAGATAAAAATCCTCTGCGTTGATGCAGTTAGCAAGCTAGCTAACTCGCTAACCAGAAAGGGTAACGACACAAACATGAACACATTTATAGACAATAGTTATATTCACATAAATACAGTACTGCACACTGATTTACAGCAAATAAAGCATAGATAACTGACGTGGTCAGCAGCAGCGGGGTGACCTGTGTGCAGCTGCAGTTAGCCAAGGAGCTAAACAGTAAAACACAGAAGTGAACGTAATTATATTAGATAACTTTATACTCGCTACAGTACATGGTACACTGATCCGCAGCAAAAAAAGTTGCTGTGCAAAGAAATAGCAACTTTACAGGAGAGGGCAAAATGTCTTAACTTTTAATGCAAGTTGTTTTCTAATATTTGGGGTTTTGGAGTCATTTTGGAGCAATTCTATTGGTCCATCTTTTCTATTGGTCACAATTTCGCACAACGTAAAGGACATGATGTAAAAAACAAAATGACAAAAATGGAGACTGCTTTTAAACTGCGATGATATGTTACTAGTGTGGTTGTGTGCAGTTGCAGTTAGCTAAGGAGCTAACATAGCAGTTAATCCGGCTAACTCCTCTACCAAAAACAGCAAAACATTAAAAGTAAAGATAATAATACAGTCTCCTAACTGACTGTGTATCATGCAGACTCTCTTTCATGAGTTCATTTTTAGCCAGTGAGTAAGAAATGTAAAAAGGTTTGTGCTTAGACACTGCTAAAACTAGCCATATTTTGGTTCTGTGCATTTGGTCAGCATAGAGACAGCTGTCCCTTCAGAGGTCCATGCAGCCAGTGCAGTAGACTTAGTGTTTGAAGATGCAAATCCGCATGTCAAAGTTCACCAACGTTGAACTGGATATGAAATTTCAAACATTAAACTGCTTCCAATGTAATGAATGTAATTTTGTGTGCAAAAATGTGCTGCCAAATGCAAGTGTGACTGGGCCTTTATAGTGTGAGCTCCTGGATGATGTACTATTGATTTCCAAATAAATAAAAAAACAATGTTACTAATTTCAATTGAGGGATTTTTGCTCTTTTGTGTCTGAACAATCAATCCTAATGAGGGCAGGTTTTTCGTCAGCTGCTCCTTTCAACAGTCCTGCCTCACGCAACTGAACTCTCTTTAGCTGGGCCTGACCAACTACTAGCGAGTGAGCTAACATTTTAAAAACCCTCAACTGTGGTAAAATGACTGTAATGTGTTGGCTAGTCTAAGTGCTCATTTTTCTCACTTGCTGCCTATCATAGCCACTTGGTCACATTTTTACGTTACTGTACTTTATCATTATACATCACCCACACATACATACATACATTGCGCTCCCCTGGGCAAATGACTGATTTCCTAAGTGAGAATAACTTACCACATCCTCTACAGAGAACATACTTCTGCACATTTTAATGTGCAATTACTGTTTATTTGCTGAATTTAACATATTGGGGGAAGAAAAAACATAAAATGTGGCCTGTGCAAAAGTTACGGCACATTTTATAATTTATGATTTACTGTTTTTTCCATTTTGTTAAGTTGTTAAGCAAATAAACAGAAAATATGCACAGAAAAATGCAAAATATCTAAGTTTGCTACTTCAAACTTTTGCACAAGAATGACAGTGAAATTGTGGGAAACACTGAAGGCGTGATGTCCAACTGACACTGAAAAATCAAAATCTACACTACAAAACATGAACAAAAGTATGTTTACATTTGAGATCACTCAGCTTAAGACAAGTATTTCATGATTTAAGCTCTCAGTTAGCAAAATGCCAACTGTTGCTTCCGCCTTGTCATTAGCCTAGTATCTCCAGTGCTAAAGCTGATGAAGCTTTAATTTCAGACACCAAACACATCTCGGCTGCTGGACTACATTTGAGGTGAGGGGAAAATAGTATGAATTTGATTTTTCGCAGAACTATTCCTCCAAGGTGTATCATGAAAAACCACCCACCCACCCACCTACCCACTTACTTCGAGAAGCACCATGTCTAGAGTATGTGGGATGGAAATATATCTGACAAGTCTGGGTCGCCCACTCACATGATTATTCTTATTCAGACACATCTTTCTGCCCATACATATTTCTTTGTGTGGAAACTTGTATGGGGTTTTGTGGTTCATGTGACAGACAGAGGAAAGATAGCCAGATACCTTTTGACCTCATCTACATGTCTGGGTGCGAACTGAAACCTCTGCTTAATTTATCTGAATGACGGGAAGGAGTTTGTGTGTGTTTGGGCATTCAGTGCTCGTGTGTGGTTAGATGCTTGAGTCTTCTCTTTATAGGGCATGCAGTATTAAAATTACCTTGATATGAGACTTAGCTTCAGTTTTCTTTCTTCTTAAAATACCAAATAAAAACTAAACCACTACATGATTATAAATGTTGTAAAGTCATGTGCAAAGTCAGTTAAACTGCCTGGTAAAAACAAGCAGCAACCTTTGAAAATTTCCCACTGTTACTTTTCAGTTAACGTTGAAAATGAACAACTAATGTTGTCTGAACTTAAAGCAGCTCTGTGCTAATCCTTTGGGTGCACTTAGCTTCAACACTCAGCTTCATGTTCATTGGTATGGAGAGCCGGTTGAATATTCCCAAAATACAAAATTTCCAACCACATATTCAAACTCTTTCTGATTTTTTTTGGCCTAAATGAGGTTTGTGCGCTGACCAGTCTTAGTGGTAACGCATTACAGTAATGTGATTTCGCATTACTGACATCCCCACTGAACATCAGTGATGATAACTGGTTCACTCTACGAAAAATCACATAATTTTCATTTCATGTTCATGTTCACATGATGAAAATAATGCTACTGAATTACTGAAAGTAATAAATACAGTTTGATTAGGCTTATTTTGTCCACTTATTAAGCTACAACAAAATACACTACTTTATAAACAGATTAAATCTTGTCTTAAGTAAGTCTGTGAAAATGAGACCAACTACAAATGAAGAGGCGATTAACCCCTTACCAAGCCGCAAGTTGCATTACACACTTCTACAACCTAAGAACAGCTCCATTAGTCTGCACTGAAGTCTGTGTAGTTAATGAATAACAGGCCTTAGTATTTAGTATTTATACTATTTATAACCCTATCTGCGACCATTTTTTTTAATCGCAAGTAATTTCCTTTTCCTGTAAGCAGTGTGATGCATTACAGTGTTACAGTATAAAATCAGCATTAGCGACTTAATGAAAAGATTTCCAATAATTATACATTCTAAGCCAATAATTTAAATTGCACAGTAAATTTCTTCTACATATAATCTGTGCTGGCCATTTTATGTAGATTGCACATGCATGGGACTGCACAGTTTGGACTGTGGATACAACCAGTGACGGCTGAGTGTGGGAAAGTTGTACGCTGTCCGAGTAGGACGAGAGTGGATGTTTCCAAAAGTATATTCCCTTTATTTTGAATTTATTAAAAGTTCTAAGTAAATACTGTAAAAACTTTAAGCAATCTGATTAATCAGACAACTGTTGAACCACAATAGTGTGGTAAGCTTTATGCTTTTTATTTATAAAAATTTTAATTAGAGGCAGCCGTTTCTACAGACTAGCTTTTACCTTTTCTGATAGCCCAACTTCAAAATTTTGAGTTGGCAATGCCATGTTCAGAGCAAGGGATACGTCCCCTAACACAAAAGTCATATATGAGGTTTTTTCACACTGAAAACACATTTTTAACATTTCACATTGGATAACAAATTTTTAATTTTAGGCATGCAGCATTTATAAGGAAGCGTGCTTGTTTCTTGCCAGCATAAAGACAAGTGATATTTCAGGAAGTGGTATTTAACTGTACCTTGCAACCTTCGCAGGCATGGACACCGTAGTGGAAGCCAGAGGCCTTGTCCCCGCACACTCGGCACTCGATGTTTAAAGCGGAGGTGGAGGGGTCTTCGTGCAGTTTAGAGAATGACATGCTATTTTCTGCGTACTGTGGAGGAGACTCTGGCTCAAGTTTAATTGAACCTGAATGAAATGAAAGTAACAGAAAGCATTAAGAATTAATGTTTCACCTTCTCACTTAAAATGCGACCAGCAGCTTGGTATTGCTTAAAAAGTGGAAATAAATGGTTGACTACATGCTAAAAAATTGTTATGCATTAACTTTTAAAGGCTGAGAGTTCTGACTTTTGCTTTTTCTATATTATTCAGATGTAATTATATATTGAATTTCTTTTGACTGAAAGAAGAGGGACTGTCCAACACTAATCCTATATTTTTCCTTAAAAAGCTTTAAGAGGATCCATAGTCGTATGCAAACGCTTAAACACTGTCAAATGGCACACTTTGTTGATTTTCTAAGTGAAAGTAAGTGAGCACACCCTTTACAGGGAACCAACTTAAATATGACATTTTTCTGCAAATTTTGATGCACAATTTCTATTTATTTGCTGAGTTTAACTTACTTAATATATAAAATGTTCCATAACTTATGAACAGGCCACAATTCATATATTATTTTTTTCACCAAAATACTGTGCATTAAAATGCGCAGAAGTGTGCTCTCTGTAGAGGACGTGTTCACTTATTTTCACTTAGAAAATCAACTAAAATATGTCATTTGGCCAGGGGCGCCCAAACTCTTGCATATAGCTTTTACATTTTTAATTGAAGTACTAAAGTTAAGATGTCCGTCTAAAACTAGTGCATGATTACATATAAATAACTTCATAAACTTACTGGAAAATGGTTAAAATGAACTTTTCTTCTCGCGCCTCGTTGCAGTCATGTTAATACTGGGTTATGTTGCCACTGTTATCACATGACCTCTTCATTTTATGTTTTTTATAGCGCTATGAGCAATTTTGCAATATCAGGCTAGATTTGTGATTGAACTGGATCAGATTAATTACTTTTTTTCTTCCAATATCCAATCGACTATTTTCTACTGATTTCAGCCTGTACCGAAGCCTAGTACTGGATCTTTGCCATCTCTTTTGAAATAAGCTAACATGGCTAAGAATGAATGGAAGGTAGTACCATTAATCACCATGATCTGCATAACCACTTTAATGCACTGTTAGTAACATTAGCATTTTGTTTGTAACTGTGTTTGAATAAGCGAAATGCATACTTTGGGGTTCTTGCACTCTGTAGTTGCTCTCCTGAGTTCTGTAGTTGTGCTCCTGCGCTCTATAGTTGTTCTCCTGGGCCCTATAGCAGTTCTCCTGGGTTCTATAGCTGTTCTCCTGGGTTCTATAGCTGTTCTCCTGGGTTCTATAGTTGTTCTCATGTGCTCTGTAGTTGCTCTCCTGGGCTCTGTAGTTGGTCTCGTGGGCTCTGTAGCTGTACATGTGTGTCAGGTCCATCATGTGTGTCATTTCGCTCTGGGGCGGGCTGGGTTCGTACTCAACGCCAGAGATTGTTGCGTAGTCCAGTGTGGAGAAAGGCTTCATGTCTAAAGAGTGTGAGCTGTCGTCAAGTTCCTCCAGGTCCAGAGTGCTTAGGCCGAATCCCATGGGCCAGGAGAACGTCTGTGTGTCCACCATAGCTGCCAGAGAGAGAGAGACACAGCATTAGAACCAGGCGAAAGGCAATTCGTTGTTGCAATTGTACCCAGTGGAATGGTACTGGCTGTGCCTGACCCTGCAGTCTATGTGGGTCTCAGTCATCTCCTGTTTCTTATAGGACTGTCAGTGGAGCTACCGTATGAGCAACATGAAATCTAGCTGATGCCAAAATATGCTAAAAAAGCTAGAGAGATAAGAAAATACAATTCTAAGCAACTTCCCACAGTTCTTTCAAGATAGCTCACTATATATCAAATGACTGGCTAATTTAGCATTGAGCAGTCAGCATTCACCAACAAACACAAGCCAGAGAACAGCATGAAATTGCTTAACATCATTTTTTCTCTCCCAGGTGGCCTTTTTGGCCATGAAAACAGCAGGCCCAAGAGTTGCCATGCGAGTGCTCTAACCCAGCAAAACTTTTTAACCTGTGATTATTCTTCGAAAACAGACAAAGTGCGAGACTGAAACAACATCATTTGAATACCAGCTCTAAAATCAGAAGCTGCGAGTAAGCAGAACTTGTCTTAAGTGTGAAAACCACTTTCAACATGATCACGGCTTTTAAACCAAGCAAATTACTGGCAAGATTATTAACAGAAAGCAAAGGACAGGTTCTTCTTTTTATGAACCCCTTAAAGTACAGGATTAATATCCAGTTACTAAACCTAATATGTATTATTTATTTAATACAATGAGTGGGTCCACATAGAGGTTTAAAGAGGATTATACTTTGACACTACCTATTACCAAGGCCATCTTTCATTTTTTGGATTTTTATATTACACAAAGTAAAAAAAAACACAGTGGGTTTGACCAAAAGTAATTTTAGGCTGTTATTTCAATTAAAATTAAATGTATTTTTAAAGAAAACGGCCTATCACTACTATGCATCTACAAGTTCACTGGCTAATAAAGTCTGTCAGCCTCTACTCATTAGCTCATAAAGACCAAACATGAACAGCATTTTGGGGTTTCTACACTTCACAGTTGCCCTCCTGAGTCCTGTAGTTGTGCTCATGCTCTGCAGTTGTTTTCATGAGGTAGACCACCAAAACTGTCCCCATCAGATAAACAGCACTTGAAGCTTTCATCTTTCAGAGACAAGAAAAAAAGCTGTTTCTGATCTGAAAACGTCCACAGGTGTTTCTGTCTGTCCTTCCACTGTGAGAAGACAACTCAGCGCTGTGGGTCTGAAAGGATGTGCAGCTGTCAGGAAGCCTCACTGAGAAAAGGAGACAGACACATCAAACAAAGAAGCTGAACAATGGACTGACCACCCCAGAGTCCAGATCTCAACATCACTGAATGTGTTAGATTACTTTAAAAAATGATCAACCAGCTTCTAAGACTGAACTTTGGAGGTGTGTCTGCAGATTTCTTTGAGGAACTTAAAGTGAGTCTCCTGAAAAGAATGGACACACTAAATACTGTAAAAATGTTATAAATACTGATATTTAGCTGTTGAAGCTTGTGTTTACACTTCCTAGTGTACTTATACACTTTTGAGTTACATATAGCCTGTGTGGTATAATTTCAATAATATCTATATAAACTATACAGAAATATGTTGTGTTCATAAATCATAGGACAGTCTTCGAAATATAGGATATAACCCCACAGTGTCCTCAGTAAGGAGCTTGTGGTTTATGATAAACTAAAGCGTGACCTGGCGAGCACATCAATGAACTCACGATCAGTTTATTGCCCCAACTCTCACCATTTCGACCTGCAGACGGACAGCAAGACTTTACATAATCAAGGCCACTGGTTGTGTAAAGAATGCTTTTATAACCAGAACACTGGAAATGTGTTTTTTTCCATCAGGGATTAGCAAAGAGTTTCTGAAAGCTTCCTCCTGTGTTTAATTTTACCTCCATGGGAGTTTATTTTAAGTGTATTGTGAGTCTAATAAGGGGGTGTTTGTGTGTAAAGGCTGATGAGAACAAGTACGGGTGTCAAATTGGGCTCAAAGTGTGCCCACTATACATTCCAAAAATAGCTAATAAATAGTTGAAATGGTGCCCAGTGACTTTCCAAAAATACCCATAGGCTACAAACATCCTCTAGTCAATGACTTATTTTTTCCCTTCTTACCTGAATGGAATGTGAACGAATGAATGGAATCTCCTTAAAACCAACTGCCACTACCAATTGTTTCGGAACACGTGGGAGAAGACGCACATTTCATCGGATGCTTTCTGGAAACGCAGGGCAGCAAAAGATTTTCTATTCTTAGCAAAGCCACGACTTTCTGTCCCTAACGTTTTCACTCTGAAATGTGGTAAACATGTTGCTTGAGAGTGCACTTTTGCTCCAGTTGGAAAGATGAGGAAGATATTAGGGTCAGACATTTTGGTTTGGTGAGACATATCCTCCCTCCACTCCTCTGCTTTTTTTTGGATAATGTCTAACGTCATCACATTCTGATTGAAACCACGGGCCTATCGTGTGACAAGTATGGTCTAACCATAAAGACGTTCAATTCTAAGACAGTGCTGATTTGATTTTTAATATTTTATGTGGTAAAACTGTCTTGATTCTACAGAGCTGTAATTATACACTACACAGTTTGGTTTGTCTCCAATGGAACTTCTTCAATGTCTCTGTAACAAAATTTACCCCAAAATCACAAACACTAGAAGCTCTTTAGAAAAAATGCCCAGTCATTTGAGAGTGAGTAAGGGGGGGTGGGTGTCCATTTTGACTAATTTTAATATTCGATTATCTGTTCACAAACGGATATCTAGTTAAGAAGAAGTGAAAACATAGTGCTGGGGTTTACCTTTTAAAGGTGTCAGCACTGGTGTTGCACTAAAATTTAGCATCACCCAGAGAAATACATTTCAAAATGTTTTATTTTTCAAAAATAGCTGAGGGAAATCAGATGAGTGATACAGACCAGTAATGTCGCAAGCGGGAAAAGCCACCCTCAGCTGTGCAGATCTGCGCAAGAACAGTTGCAAGAAAACCCCAAGAATCTGAGCCAATGCGCTATTTGAGCAAAATGCTAAAAAATGTTTTAGGGGACTTGTGTAGGGTGATTTTGTCAGTGATTTGATGTTTTTGAAATGGAAATTTGGCTTTCAGGTTTGAGATTTTTAAGTCTCTTTCCATTCAAAAAGACAGGAGCCTGGTCTCATAAGGCTGGAAATAAGTGCCTGGTGGCATTGTCAAGATGGTTGCTAAGTGGACAGACTTCCCTGAACAAGTGTCCAAAAATTCTAAACCAAAAGCGCATCAACTCAATGGTACTATATATGTGTCTCTATCTTTGTGACAATGCAGCACAAAAAAATGGTTCAAACTTCTCCTGAATCTGTAGAGTCGCCCTTTTCATTCCGTCTTATCATGAGATCGTACGTGACTCACATGCGGAGTTATGAGCCTATGAAGAGGGGGAGAGATACACGTCATCTACCTCTCACCGTGTGGAACTGGTGGATTCGTGTGTCCGTCTACATTCTGTGTGAAACTGACCAATGGACACTCAGGAGATCACTAAGGACTGACCCATCACGCCAGAAACCCTTCATTCTTCATTAAGTCCACATCGGAGACACATGCGAAATGGCCTGCAGAGAATTTACAGCAGCTGAAGTTGCTGCAGTGGTTTTGGAAAGTAGTGATGAAGATAACGAAGCATTTTGATACAAAACATATGAGCATGATGTTACATGTAGAGCCTTTAAAGGAGAATTTAAGAAGTTAGGCACAAATCGAGAAAACTCGACCACAGAGGGTTAATGCACCACTGCTAACATTCAGCATCTATGCTCAACCACTTCCAACTAAAAGCTAGGTGATAAAAATGTTCAACGTTTTTTCTATTTAAATGAAAGTAAAAGAAACATGAACTTGATGTTCACTGGCATTTTTACTGCGACACATTCTATGTGGTATAGCTGAACTATATATTCGTATTAGCTGGTACGTGACGCTGCAAGCACAATGCATCCAGTAGCCTTTAACCACTGTTTTTAAGACACATGCAGTTGTTCAGTGCTCTGAAACTAACTGACGATCTCAGAAAAGTGTACATAATTTAACACAATAACATTTCATCATATTTCCCACCCCTGGTAAAAACATTGGGCCTCATTTACCAACCGTTCCTAAGAGGAAATTTCTTCATAAAACCCACTTCTTAGGTATTTGTTCTTAGGTATAAACAGAATCTACACACACTCAAGAGCACAAAGGTGTGAATAATTCTGCAGTATAAGAACGTGTCATCAATCTGACGTAGACTTTCTCTTAGGACCCTTCTCAAGAACACATTTTAGAATAAACCTATTGGTGTATATCGGTGAATAAGGCCCATTAACTTAATTTGGTAACATTCTGGTCAATTTACGATACTAAACTAGTCCTTTCATCTCTATGTGATGATGCAGAGCATCTGAAGCGATACAGTGGGAGATCCACATCAAGGTTTCTCATGTTCTCTCACAGCTTATTGGAGCAGACTGTGTTTGCGCCGACCTGACGTATAAAGCCAACCTAACAAAACATGACAAATGATCAAAGTCAATGCAATGCGTATGAACAAAAGACAACAAATGCCATGTGGACCATCCCTTAATGGCCATGCAGCGACTGTCCCTGTCAAGTCTGATCTTGCAGTGTACACAGATGTACAGGTGGACGGCTTTACACAACGCTTTTCTGTTTTTTTTCTTCTTTACATAGATTTGTGCAGTAATTCATACTTCTGTGATTGCGCATGATAATCCATCTTGTTATTTTTAAGGTGGTTCCAACAGGCTGTTAGTAAATGACGTTGTTCTCATGCTTGATCTTATCTCTTTTTAAACTGCGCTTTAGGGTGAGTTGTCTTTCAAATTAGGGCGAGAACCTAGAGGAGATTTTCTGTTCCACTCCTGGGCAGAATTTTGAGAAGAGCTCTAATTCTGTTCATGTGAGAAAGTTAAGGAAAAGTGTTTCTTGCAGAGAGCGATGTGAAATCCTTTCCACAGGG